AGATGTTCTGTTATTTTACATGGTAGTAGAAGTAGTAGTAGTAGTAGTAGTAGTAGTAGTAGTTGTAGTGGTGGTGGTGGTGGTGATTTCACTTGTCCCTCAGTGATCTTGTTAAAAGCTTTCCTTGCACTTGCTTTTACACGTCGAGAGTCCACAGCACACGAGTAGCTTTCTCAAATAGTACTCAGGAAAACTCTCTGTAGACATTTGCTACGGCTTCATGAATAGTAACACTTTCCACTTGATCTCCCCACAGCTTAGATAACCATCAGTCAACAATGCATCCTCCACACGGTGAGGAGCAATCCGGGATGGCAACGCAACTCCGACCACAAAAGTCAGCTTGGAACATTAGCTTGTTATTTACAGTCTGCAATAAGCTCCATAAAACCTGCCTTATGCCGCGGTGTTGATGGATTCCCAGAGTGCATGTTACAGCAATCATCGGGACACGAACAAGAGCCCCAAACAGAGGACATCAACGGAGAAGTAATCTTGCACCGCGCTATCATTTGGCAAGGTCCGTTCGCAACATCCATAACACCACCGTGCAGGGAGGAGGAGGAGAAGACAGCAGTGGCACCTAGAGTCTTATAAAACACCTAGGTCTGCAGTGAGAAACTAAAAACACATGGGACGCTGTAAACAAATATGACCTCCAAAAGATCCAATCATAGTTTTTCACTTTCACGGGGCTCTGAAACGGATTACGATAAACAGGGAGGGTAAGGTCAACAATGCAGTACTGTGCTGAAGTTTAAGAGATATTTGTGAGAATAAAGAAAGAAAGGTGTAGTGTTATCAAAAGAAAGAGTGTAAGTATGAAAGATGGAGCAAATAAAAACAAAAATACTATAAAAGCCTTGAGCTACTACCTGGACTCGTAAATGCAGTACCACTTAGTAAGCCTGAAGGGCCCATATTCTGTTGGTTTTGGATCAATGTTATAATGGTGTTTCCTCATCAAAAAACATACCTGGAGTTTTGTTTTGTTTCATTCACACATGTTTAACACACAAACCCTGCATATTTAAAAGTGTTTCTCTCAAACAGAAAATGCTGTTCTACCTTGTGATGTCATGTGGTAATACAGGAAGTGCTCCACTTTGTTTTTAAAGTACATACACCTTCATTAGAATAACTTGGATAATTTCAGGCCTAAAATTGGCAACCTCTGAACAAAAGGAAAAAGGTAGATGTTACCTTGAAACTACCTTTACATTACTAGTGTATCACAAGATGGAACAAAGCATTTTAAGCTTTTGAGATGTAGACAGACTAATAATAAAGGATTACTCGAACATGTCTGTAATAGCCTGGATAGCAACCTTAGCAGTGGAGGAGGAACAGTCGAGTTTAGCCAATTTTAGTGCAGACCCAAAATGCATTTATTTCTATTTCCAAATTGAAAAAAATATTTACAAAAGTTAAAAACAGGCATGGCAAAACCTGCGCTCACACACAGCACCTTCCTCTAGACAAAGGTGAGGCTGGCTCCTTTTATGGGCCACCTCCTCTAATTGGGTGAGTCCATCTCACATGGCAGGTAAGTTTAGATTATTTCCATTCAATATTTAAAAGGTTAATCATATCAAAACAGTGCTCTAAATATTAAATTACATCAAAGTACAAAAATATATCTCTTAATTAAAGTCACAGTGTTTTATTATTCATTTTAAAATACTAAGTAGATAAGTTAAAATATCTGTGCTCCCCTCCTCAAAATGATTGCCTGCCCCGGAACCTTCTTAAGGTGTTTCCGCTGCCCGGGGGACTCTTTTAGCCGGAACACCTGGCAGACAACACAAGAAGTTTATTGTTTATTGATTTCAGCCACAATTACTTCAATTAAATTTACTTTTTTCATTTACTTATTTAATTTTCTTTACAGGTCACTTCAATCAATTATCAATAAACATTTTAAAACTTTGCTTGTTTGTTTCTGTCCTTATCTCACCTGTTAGCTTGCACCAGCCTGTGTGATGGACTAGCTACATTACAATGTCTGAATGAAACAAAACACAACTCCAGGTATGTTTTTGATGAGGCAACTACATTCTAACATGTCTTAAAGCTCACAAGAGTCAATTTTGCATAACCTTTAAGTATACTGTCTGGAAAGTAGAACTGGAACAATAGGGTTTGAATCAAATCCTTGTCACTATGTTGTTTTTGTGACATCAACGTGCATCAAACTCTCTGAAGATAGTTGCAGATGACTCTTACAGACAGTATAAAGTGATTTTGTTTAATTAATTGTTATAAAAACTGCTAGAAATTTCTGTCAGGAGTCATAGGAACCCCTCTAAAGAATTCAAACCAGAATATTAACCAGTTTATGAAGACAGAAGTTAGTTAGACGTGAGTTAGAAGTTAGTTAGAAGTGAGTTATTAGTTTGTTTATTATTAAAGTTGATAGGATCATTTCTATCACATTACCACCATGCTGCCAAGAATAAATGCTCTGTCCATCTTCAGTGATAATTAAAAGCAATGTCATTTACAAGACATAACAAGACGCTGTGATTATTAATGCAAAGAAGTTATTTTTTATGCATACACTACTAAACTGAATGAATAATACTAACAACCTACAGTATAAGCATGTTTTCTGTAATTGTCCTGGAATCTAACATGGCCATTCACCAAAACGCCACACATTTATTAAATACACATAATGGTATTCAGTTCATATTCCTGCCTCTTTAGATACGATGCTGGTAATACTGGCAACTTCGTGGTCCTTGAAAGCAGCGTGCAGCTCAATCTTCTGTCCAATTGGCTTTCAAATTAAAAAAACGTTCACTTCCACTTGAGTTTCCAGTGCAGGGGAATTGAAACATTTTCTGTCTTTGTAGTGGACAATTGAAATGATGACTATTCTGCCACTGGCCTAATATCTGCAACTGAATATAATTGTCAGTTTGTTTTTGTTTTTTTTCCGCATTCACTTTTTTGTAGAGCCTAAAAAATCCAGTCCAAATGAGAGGCTTTAAAAAGGATTTGGCATTAGTCTCTTTTGCTGTTCTGCAATTAGTAGGTGTATTCCTGTGCTTTAAAGAATACTCATCCAACAAGTATGAATAATGCTTGGTGCTTGTATTATGGCTTTGCAAAGGAAAACATATTTTTGAAAATGGCAAGACATAATTGTTTTATATAGGAAGAAACTGGATGCGATTCATAAACATAGTAATATAGTGAAGACAATTCACAAAGTACACTCATGTCACAGCCTAGTTCAATTGCAAAGCAGACATCTCAGTTTCGATTCCCATTTTTCTTTTTGTTACCATCTTCTACAGATATTATCAATGACAATAAGGTACAGTGGATTTGATCAAGGAGAAGTGGAGTAATATTTAGTCTGCAGTGAAATATATTTGGATTTTGGAACCTTTTCTGTACAAAGAGTAAACTCCTATTTTCTGATGACTTTTTAAAATGGAACTTAACTGTTTTGTCCTGTTCCACTTCACTTTGTATTAAAAAAACATCGCTCCTCTCTCTCTTAAAATGTCCATATTAACCCACTCTATAACGATTCCAGTGTTTTTATTTCGCTGTTTTGTCACGTCTCACTCCTTAAATCTACTTAATATTACTGGCCTATAGAATGTTGTAATGTTATCTGAAATGCAGCAATACAGTTTGGTTTCTTCAGTATTTAGTTTATTTTGTACAACAAAGATGTGATATTTTGGTTATTAAATAGTGTGAAAATGATTTGAAATTGATTTTGTGATAGAGGATGGAAGGAAGGATGTTGCGATGCATGTTCACGTTCGGGTGAGTCTAATAGCTCCCATGGACCAATTAAACAGTCTACAGCCTATTTAAGCCCCGATTAGTCACAGCAGGGCTTTTTAATTTGACATGCATGCTCGACACTGGCAGAGGGGCTGATCAAGCGGAGCAGGTGAATCTCATGTCTGTTCTGGCCCATAGGCACCATGGCATCAATGAATACCTGCTTCTTATAGACATGTCCTGCCTCAGCGAGTCTTACACAAAGCACAACCTCTGACAAAAGCATAAACTTAAAGGTGAACTATGTAACTTTTCTGGTAGAGGGTCCAGTAGCCTGCTTGTTCCAGGCTACTGAACATTCCTCAGTATAGTATTGAACTTTCCTATACTACATTTAATGAAGTGAAGGTGTATCTTTGCAAACACTTCGACTGCTTGTCTCCGTGGATATGTTTTATGCCACAATAGAACATTCCAGGCAAAGCAATAACTAAAAATTAATGGAGATAAGAAGTCTATCAGAAAAAAAACACTGCACATTCATGTCTAAATCTGGACTTACTGGATACTACTATATATCTGAATCAATAAAACAGTAAGGATGTAACGATATCCAAATCTCTCGGTACGATATTATCACAATATGCATCTCACGGTACAATATTTATTGCAACATTTTGGAGAGGCTAATGTAATTGTAGATAGGACATGTTTCTGCTTTTTGAAAATATCTTGACGATATTTTGGTGTAAATTATTTCCGTCATAATCCCGAGATTTCAAGTAAAAAACATATTTCTTCTTGTTTGCACTGAAATCAATCATGGGATATGTAGTTCCCTATGTTTATAAGCTTTTGCTACTGTAAAATCATGCATTTAAGCAAAGGAACTTGTGACAGCCCACGATATTATTGTGAGACTTTTGACAATATGTTATCACAATATTTCGTTTTTTGTTAAATCCCTATAAAACACAAAATAAACCATAACTTTACCAGGGCCAAACCAGGACTAAACAAGTAACAACTAATCAAATAACTGACCAAAAGCAAGCACACACCAAGAATTAAATCAAAATTACTGTGTAAGCACACTAGACCTAGAAAACCAAACCTGACTAAACCTGAATAGTCCAGTGGCAATATTAGAACTAGCACTACTATTACAATAAGATCAAAACTAAAACAGCAGCATTATCAGCAGTACCAGCACTGGCATCTGAACCACAGTTTGAGAAACACAGCCTTACCTTATCAGGATTCTGTTCGATCCAGTTCTTCACTGTGTTCAGGGCGATGTCGGCAGCAGGCTCATTGGGAAAACCTGAAACACACACAAAAAACAGTGTCAATAACAGGAGTATCCAACATGCACCAAGGAAGAGGCTTGGGGAAGATAAAGCGCACAGACAAACCCATATCTGCACAGGTAAGAGCCTTATCTACTAAATCAAAGGAAAGCAGCTGTCTCCCGGAGCAGCTGTCGGATAAATGCTGGAGATTTGTGGTAGCAGATGCACAGAGATGGAAAACATTTGAGTAAATACAAAGTGCACATAGAACAACCACATCTGCAGCACAGGCCCACTCAGCACCACCTGCAGAGGTGCTGCCGAAGTTCACAAGTCACACTCCTTACAAGTGAGATAATGCACCTCCACTGGAAACATGTGAAAGACAACTATTGCTTTTTTACTAAAGTTTGTCATTACTGTATAAATAAATATGCAAAAAGTCATGTACTGCTTTATTAGATGTATCGTTGGTGGTAAATGTCCACATATTTATATAGCGCTTTTTCACCTTAAAGGTTCACTTCGTGGAAACCATCTGACCTTGCAGTGTTGCGATTCATTTACTCGACGGGAGGCGGGTACTTTTTATTTAACTAATTGCTGCTATTTAGTCATGACATATGTAATGCACCAGAACACTCAGTGCTGTCCAAGTACAGTCCCTGACAAAAGTCTTGTCGCTTATCCATTTTGTAGAAACAAAAGCTTATACCTTGACTTTAAATTAATCGATTGGTTTTAGAAATGTCTCATATGAAAGCTAAAACCCTCCCAAATTATGCTCAATAAACTAAAATAAATTTGCTTCACTGAAGAAAGATTGATCATTTAATGAACACAGAAAGGTCAGATTTTGGCAAGACAAAAGTTTTGTTGCCTACAGAAAATTGAACAAATAATTTACTTCAAATACAAAAATATGTTGCATAACATCAGTGAATTAAGTAGTGGTGCTGTGAGATCCACATTTAATATCTTGTATGACTTCCATGAGCTTGAAGGACGCATCCATGCGGTTCGACAATGATTCATACAATTTGTTGATGAAGTCATCAGAAATAGCAAAGAAAGCAGTCTTACATGCCTCCCAGAGTTCATCAAGATTCTTTGGTTTTGCCTTCCATGCTTCCTCTTTCATTCTACCCCAGACATGCTCAATGATGTTCATGTCTGGTGACTGGGCTGGCCAGTCCTGGAGCACCTTGATCTTCTTCGCCTTGAGAAACTTTGATGTAGAGATAGAAGTATGCGATGGAGCACCATCCTGCTGCAAAATGTGACCCCTTTTATGGTTGGGAATATAAGAGGAGCTAATACTTCTTGATATTTTAGGCTATTGATATTGCCTTCCACCCTGCAAATGTCTCGCACACCCCCATACTGGATGGAACCCCAGACCATGATTTTTCCGCCACCAAACTTAACTGTTTTCTGGGTGAATCTTGGATCCATGCGGGCTCCAGTAGGTCTCCTGCAATATTTGTGGTGGCTGTGATGTAATTCAACCGAGGATTCATCTGAGAAATCCACCTTCTGCCACTTTTCCAGTGTCCATCCTTTTAGCAGGCTGTGGGCCTTGGCAAATGCCACACGGTTTTTTAATTGCCTTTTGTTTAGTGCTGGTTTCTGTGCACTGATTCGACCATGGAGGCCATTTCGAGACAGAATTCTACAAACTGTTCTGGTTGACACAGGGACTTGAGGTGACCGGGCCTGGTGGAGCTCTGCTGCAGTGGAAAAGGGGCTGACCTTGGATTTTTGAATCAACAAACGGTCCTCCTGAGCAGTTGTCTTGCAGGGTCTGCCGGACCTGGGCTTGTCAAAAACATCTCCAGTCATTTCAGATCTTTTTCTTCTTCTTTGTACTTGACGCTGAGACACATTGAAGGTGTCAGCCACCTCAGCAGTGGATCTGGTCTTCAGCCTCTTGATAATTAACGCTTTGGTCTCAGGGTGGACCTTAGGCATGTTGTCAGAGGTCAAGTTGCAGTTGATGTGAAGGTCTGGTGTGCTGGGGTTCTTTTTATACACACCCACTAATTGACAGATCAGTAACTGATCACAGGTGAGGCTGTAATCTAGGATTGGGTGCATCATATGACAAGGCGACAAGACTTTTGTCTTGCCAAAATCTGACCTTTCTGTGTTCATTAAATGATCAATCTTTCTTCAGTGAAGCAAATTTATTTTAGCTTATTGAGCATAATTTGGGAGGGTTTTAGCTTTCATATGAGACATTTCTAAAACCAATCGATTAATTTAAAGTCAGGTTATAAGCTTTTGTTTCTACAAAATGAATAAGCGACAAGACTTTTGTCAGGGACTGTAATTGCAGGCAAACAAAGCAGAGAGTGAACATGTCTGTCAACAATCACTGTTGTTTCTGCAAGGTAAACTTGCAAATTAAAAGTGCAATTAAAAAAGCTAAAATAAAATAAAAAAAAAAATGAAAAAAAAGTTTGTATTTGACAAAGGAAGTCCAAAGTGTATGTAGTCTGCTTTTGCAACTCCGGTTGGTTCAGCTCTTCCCTGATTGACCCGTGTGTGGTCTACAACTTCCGAGGTTCTTGTAAACCGTCTAGTGTATTCCGATTCCTGACCTAGTCACTGGAGAGAAATGAAATTGAGTGGAGGCACTAGGTGGCACCAGCCTGACTAACTCAAAGCACGTTACATCAAGGAACCAATCACCTTTTCACACACACATTCATATACTAGTGTACGCACACACTGGGGGTCAGGTGGGTTAAGTATCTTGCCCAAGGAGACAACAACAGCTTTCATCTGTAGAAGCTGGAATCGCACCACCAACCTGAGATTTGTATTTGTATTTACCTTCCAGGTGCACAGTAAAGTCATGCTTGGAGTAAGACTGTCATGGTTCATGTTTGTAGTGGTTGTAGTTGGTGTTTTAGTTTGACATTTGTTTAGTCTGCGTGTAGTTTTGAGTTTTACTTCTGTCTTGATTGTTTGCCCCGCTCTAATGTGTCTCACCTGTGTCTCATTAATGTGTGTGCTTATATACCCTGTGTTCTCCTTTGCCCTCGGTTGGTTCATTGCTGTTATTATGACTCTCATGTTGGTTTTGGATTTTGTGTTTGGCCATTAAACAATTTTGGAAATGCAGTTTTGCATTTTGGGTCCTACTTCTGCTCTAGACGTGACAAAGACAGGGAGAAAGAAGTTAGTTCAGTATATAAGAAAGCATATTTTATTTTAAAAGTATCTAAAATTGTGTTTGTTTTTTTTTGTCAAAAATTACCATTTACAGTTTATTTTTTACTTCCTTTTGAATAGAGATTGATGCCACAGTCTTTTCAAACTGATTAAAATCAATGTGGAAAAATACTGAATACAGTTTCATAAGTAGTATAATTTCAGCGCTCGCAGGTGCTCTGTCAGTCACCATGTTTGACAGATGTAAATTTTAGTGAATCCATTTGGAACAGTACTTTCTGTTTTCAGAGCCAAAACTGTCCTGCTGAAAATGCTAAAATACTGTACACAGAATACGCATTATATATTTGTACTTTGTTTCTTTGCAACCTATTCTCAGATGTGTACTGTACTTTGGAGATGTTTCAGATCTTAAGTATACTATAGCGCTGTAACCTCACAGAGAAAGCAGCTCTTTGTATGAGTTTGGCATTCATCACAACAGTATAGTGCAAACTCAGAGGCTCTTACACTGAGTTAACACGACATATTGATCTCCAGAGCACTGATTGCACTTGTTTTAATTTTTAATAAGGGCGGCATAAGGAGAACTCTGCTGATCCCAAGATCATTTGCTGCCACTGTAGAGAACTTCCTAGGCCTGACACTTAGACTGAGCTATTGACTTAAAAAGCCCCTGGGCCGGCCTAGCTTTAGTACCAGTATATGTGCCATTACCAAAAGAGCTGACAATCTGCTCGCTGTCAGAGTCTAGTGTTTCAGTTGTCTTCCTTTCAGAGTAATTATTGTTGAGTGTGGTCTTTCAGGCCTTCACTAGATTGTAGTATTTCACTTACTTACAAATCTGTGAGAGGACTTCAAAATGCTTTTCGTCTCATCCCCTCCGTAGAGTTCAGACTAGGTGAGGTGTACACACGTCTCTTTTACCCCACAGACAGAGGACATGAAAGTTAACCTTCTTTTGTATCATAACCCATGACCCCATACAGCACTAGAGGTTGTGGTAAGCACTGTCATTTTCTCAACGACAGAGTTCACCACCTCAATTTCAACTCCCATCAGCTCATACAAGGGCCACGCCACAGATGTAGTTTCTTGGTCAAAGCAAACATTTTTTTCTTTCTTTTGCTTGGGTCACTGCTCAAACGCTATGAGACCTATCAAACAGGCTTACAAGTACCTCTTACCACCCCTTGCACCTGTATTGGATGTAAAGATAGAGATTGAAAGGCTGGAAAAACTATTCAAATTTAACCTGCTCATGTCAGATTTATTGGTGTGGTAATCTGAATTGAGTTCTACACATCAGTCTGGGATGGGTCTCAGCGAAAGTTATTTGGACCTACCAGGATGTTGAAACGAATATGGTCGTCCCTCACTATAACACAGTTCACCTTTTGCAGCCTTGCTGTTTTGCGGATTTATTTATTTTTTTTAGTACAGTACAGAATGCACTCAGCTTGCCAAATTTACATAAATGTTTGATTGCTGCAGTGTGATTCTGAAGTGCTCTATGTTTGCAAGTTTTCTCCCCGACAAATCCCACAATGCTGATGAAATGTTCTGCACCGACAGAACAGGCTCCTGCGGTCGCACCCAAAAGGCAGAGGAAGATGCCAACCATAGCACAAAAAGTTGGACTTCTGGACATGATGAAGGAAGGTAGAGGTTATGCGGCTGTAGCGCATTACAGAATAAAGTAATCTTTGGTTTGTTACATAAAGAAGGAGGAAAATAACATAAGGACAACAGCAGCAATAAGTTTTAAGAAGGATGCAAAAAGGGTTGTAACTGTCCTGTGTGAGAAAAATGTATAAAGTGTGTGATCAGGAGTTTTACAGCCTTAAAACAT